GCATTAATAAACTTGATTATAGCTATAAAACAGAAATTTAATAGGTTGCTGAATGAGGAAAACGGATAAAAGAATAAAATATGATTTTTAGATGTATGAATTTGTTGTTATAATTTTATTTGCATTTAGAATGTATGATTTTCCTCTGATTCTTTACTTTTTGCTTCCTTGTTGGTTCTGTCTAAAACAACCTGGTAAGCGGTTCTGAAGCAGCCCTGCATCCCTCCCTCATCCCCTACTGAACCAGGAGTTCTGCTCGCGTCATTTTTTTTCTTTCGTCCTGAACCTTTTTGCTRCTTATCAAATAACTTTGAGCCTCAGTCAGAAAAAAAGATGAAGGTTTTATATTTCTGSCCCGAGAGGAGGAGGAAACAAATGGTGGACTGAGGTACTTTTTTTTGTTTGTTTGTTTTTTCCCACAGAACGTGTTTCCTCGTTGCGACGCGGCTCGCATCAGACCGTCATTTAAAAAAAATTAAATGTAGCATATACTTTTTATCATATCTTCAGATCTACTTGGCCTAACAACCCAATTTAAAAACTGGTTTAAAGTTTGAAGTCTCTACTTTTCACTCGAGGGTCTCCGAGAGGGCGGATCCTAAACTTTAAGTCAGCAGCATTGACAACGCTCTGCGGGTGACGTAAACGACTCCGCAACACAGCGAGGGACGCATAAATCACACGACACAACGAATTGATAACGAATTAGTTGCCATCGCTTTTAATAACCAATTTTTATCGATTTTATCGATTCGTTGTTGCAGCCCTACATTAAAGGTCACAAACTTCTCTGGTTTCTGCTCTCAGATCAGTAATAAACGTTCTGGGTTTGTCTCAGCAGTTTTGTACGTTAGTATGAACAGATTGGAACAGATATTTCATCAATAAGGTGGGAAAAAATGGGCGTATGTGTAAAAATCTTTAGTAGAAATTAAGCAATTTTAAGTGTTTAAGCTGCTGGAACTGAATGCAGTCATTAATTAATTCTCATYAATAATTTCATTTGAGTATTTGAGATTTATTGAATTACACGATCAGCTAARTCCTGCTCTTTCTGTGCAAAAACAATAGGTTTCATATTATCAGCTTCATTCAGAGCAGATTAATGTTTCAGATTAACGTTTTATTTGCACAATAAAAGCTGAAAAAAATGTTCAGTGACCTCCAGCATCCTTTCTCTCAACTTTTTTCCTTCAGCTGTGAGGTGTTTCATTCAACTTCTAAGTGCAGAAAGATGCAGAGAAACATTTTTTAAATTCTAGTAGTTTAACCATCTTTCATCAGGGGCGTGTGGTTGATGTTTGTCTCTTTACTCCTGGTGCTTGCACAATGATTTCATAACTTTGTTTTATGACCAAATGAAATGCTCAAGAACATGGAAAACAGATTAAAATTAAATACGCAGGAAGATTGCCCAAAAACTGGTGAAACTTGATGGATTTAAATTACTGTGCTGTGCTCATGATTTGATAAACAAACTTAAGAAAAATAATATCTGCAGGAAAAAGAATTGAAATGAGAGGAGACTGCCTATGAGTGATACTATGTGTCACACGGGAGAGTCGCACATGCTGTCACTCGCTTTAGGGGGCTGCTTGAGTTAGCAATGTTTTCAAAAAGGAAAGGTTTTGCTCTGCAACCTGCGAGACGCCGAGGTACGTTGAGACATTTGTGCAGTACGTTAAATGATTTTTGGATTGTGTTTTTGTGGTGCATACTGTAATCTGATTAAACAGCTCAAGAAAGAAACAACACAGATTAAAGTTGAAAATAAAAAAAAAAGTCATGGTTCTCTTTGTCTGGCTAAATTAGATAAAGATTTTTTTTGTGGTTTAAATAAATTGTTACTCACTAGTGTTGTGTAATATGAGGTTAGTCTATACAGCTATAATAAACCATTTTAAAAAGAAGAAAATAATATTTTTTTTTTATTTATGTTCGTAATTGAATTTCTTGCAATACTGTTGTGCTGTACAGGTGAAGAGTGAACAAGAAGGAAATGGTTAGTATGATTTTGAAAGAGAAAGCAGTCAGCAGTGGAAATGTAGCAGTTGCTCACATTGTTCTGCTTCCTGTTTGAGCGAAAGTTTCAGATAGAGGTCATTACAGAGAGGACCACCATTAACTTCCTGTATCTCAACAACTCCCATTTCTTTTCTTTTCTGCTGTTTTTATTTATTTATTTATTTATTTATTTACTTATTTATTTATTTATTTATTGTCTCTTGTTCACATGATGGTGTTTGTCAAATGCAATCCAAAAAGTTTACCATTTCTATTATTATTTTTTTCTTAGAATAAAGCAAATAAATAGTAATTTAACTGGAAAAAGAAACKTATAACATTTGGCAAAATCTCTTCCCATTGCTCGACAGAACCATGTCCAGCACCGCCCAGTCCCKCTGTCGTAGAGGAGGACAGCGTCCAGTTCAACAAGCTTTCATACCTGGGCTGCACCTGGGTCAAAGCCCCCCGCAACGAGGCTGAGGCGCAGAGAGCCATGGCCACCCTGCGAGCCGAGAGCGCCATCCCCATCCCCATCACCCTGCATGTCCCGTGTGGTCCAGAAGGCTCCGTCAGGTCAGACAATCAGGGCTGGAGGTTTTTGAAGGAAACACGACTCTGGTCAAATGGAAAATATGAAAAGTTGTTAGATTCAAAAAAAGTTCAGGTAGGAAAGGAAGAAGTCTGTAAGGAATTAAAATGTCTGAATGGGGTTTTTTATGAACACCTAATAACAGTAGATTCTATWTTAAAGGTGAAAATAACTAATAAGGAACTGTGTTGTTTAAATTATTTTTCATTAAAATTGTGMTTTTAAGTTGTTTATCATCCATTGAAGCGTGTTAGCCAGTAAAAAAGATTAAAAATAAATCATTACTTGAGTTGACAGTTAGCCATTTTAAGTGATTTCATGAAAAAGGAACACGACGTGTTWAATTATACAAAAGAGGAAATGAGACAATTGTCTAAATTGAAAAAGCTTCCCTTTTTGCAATGATTCATTATGAATGTATGTTGCTAATCTTTAAGCATAAAACGTATGCTGATGATCTCTACAATATGTGACCCATCACATCGAAACGAGGATTAAATCTAAAAGTGATACATGGAGAAATAGGCAAACAGTGTTTTAATTAAAACGCCAACAAAAATTGAATTTCTTCAAAATATAACAAATAAAGGCCCCATCAGTGTTTCGTTTGAATGAACTGTGTGAAATATAATAAAAAATATTTTGAAGCACTTTTTTGAAAAGTAGCAACAAAAACCTGATTTTGAGGAAAAATCCCTCTAAATTTTGAGATTTTCCCTGTGAGCTAGTAAAGTTTTTGTTTCTTTCCAGCTGGAAAATGTCAGTATTTATTTCTTTCCAGCTGGAAAATGTCAGTATTTAAATACTATTTGAGATTTCCTCTTCATAATGAAATTAAAAATTCCTCATTAAAATTACATAAAATTCTGATTCAGACCAAATATTAACGTATTATCTTAACCAACAAGACAAATTAGGGCATATCTCTGGTTCTGTTTATGATATCAGAATGATCCAGGTATAAAAATGTAGCTTTTAAAGCCAGGAATCTGGCAGTGTGATTAGGTAATTTTAACCAAATTTCACTTACAGTAATCCTCATTTCGATATGATGGGTCACGTATACCTATACTGAATTTTCAGGAAAAACTTTTAGAATTTGTTTAAACAAAACAAATCACTRCATCTGATGACATAGCTTATTAATGATATGTTCCATTAATGTATTAAGAGATAATTTAAATCGCTCACTCTCATTCTCAAATATGGATCAGGCCTAAGCGATAAGTGCAGTAAAAATCTCTGTATTTAATGTTTTTATCGTCTCTCCCTCCCCCTAGAATTGTGGACCAGGCCTCAGGAACAGAGATTGCCTCCTTCCCCCTCTATAAGGTGTTGTTCTGCGCTCGAGGCCAAGATGGCTCTGTAGAAAGTGACTGTTTCTSTTTTACCGAGAGTTACAGAAGTTCTGAGGACTTCCAGATTCATGTTTTCTCCTGCCACATCAAAGAGGCCGTGAGTTGCATACATTTTATTCCAGTTCACAAAACTGCAGCTCAAAGTACTTGAACTCTGCTTTACAGGGCTGAACTTCATGCTATTTACATGTCATTTGTCTGTAAAGTCTAGCTAATATAAGATTCCCCTTTTCAGTTTTCAGTTGCTAATTATACTGCAAATGAATTGTCTAGTGTTCACCAAAATTTAAATTGGAATTGTTTGGGTTTCGTGATGGCGTCTCATTTGCATGTATTGAACTAAATGCTCTTCCTCTGTGTTTCGTATAGATCTAAACCTGCATCTGTACAGAATAAATTAAAGGGGACATATCATGCAAAATCCACTTTTTAAGCCATTAAATGCATTTTGTTGTGTATATGGAGTCTCTAGGAGTGCAGAAAAGTTCAATTTAGTTTCTCCCCGTGCTGCAAAAATATCTTTATATTCTGTTTAGTTCATATTTTTAAACTTAACTCTTTCGTTGTTGACATTTTTAATTAATTTGTAAATAAAAGGTTTCTGCGCCRCTATATTGTAAACCCCTCTATAAAACTACAACTGCTCTGGAACCTGGGCTGAAGCTCCTCGTTTGGATTTAAAGAGACAGCCTCAAAACAAGTTGATCTGAGGCAGAGCTCAGAAAAAGGGTGAAAGAGGGCCTTGTGCAGTAGCATAAGGAGGAATTCAGAGAAAAACATTGCAGTTCCACTTTATATAGACTCCAACTGAATGATTTAAATGTGAAAAGGGGCTTTAGAAGCATRTTTCTCTGTTAAACATGCTTCTGACTATCAGTACTTAGAGCAACAGCTGTTTTTGAGTGAAAGCAAACATGATTATAATATATGTCGCAGCCTCAAACATCTCAGTCTTAAATGAGATGATAATCTACAGTATAATTGAAAGGTAGAATTAGAGAATTTTATCTGAATGTCTCTCTGTATAAGAACCAGCTGGGGGCAGTATTATCTTGTGATGACATTTCTTTTCTCTTTATTTCCTCCTCTTGTTATGCTGTAGTGCTTGTGTTCAACAATCCTGTTTTCACCTTTTTGGTCTCAGTTTTGATTGATTTCTCTGGTTGCTCCTAAACAACTTTTATCATCTTTAGGTTTATTATCCTCCTCCTTTACTTTCCGTTGCTCTTTTTTTCTTACATCTTGTTATTTTTTTTTTTATTTCTTTTATTCCAGGTCAGCCGGATCCTGTACAGTTTCTCTACAGCCTTTCGGCGTTCTGCTCGTCCGGCCGACATCAGAGACGCAGCACTCTCCAGTCCGGCTGACAGTGGTCTCTACACCTTCACTGTCTCACTGGAGATTAGGGAAGATGATGGCAAAGGAAACTACAAGTACTTATCCAACTGTGGAGACACTAACATACATAGACTTTTTTTTTTCTTATCAGTGGATAAGACTTTTGGTATGACAGATGTCTTGGTGGTAAGAAAAGCTTAGTGTTCTGCTGTAATCTTATCTGGCAGCGATTGTTCACCCATGAAAAGGATAACGTTTATTGGCTCCAAGAGAGAGTGTTTTCATTTTCAAGGCATTGTATTTTGGATGTTGAAAACAAATGGATGTATACTTTCTTATCTCTTTTGGAGTAAACGTACCAGAAGACAGAATGTACAGAGATGAAGSCTTGAGGGAACAGATTAAATCTAACCCAGAGATACGTTGAGATATATTTGTTTTCTTTTTTTTAAGATTTAGGGAAGAAACTGCCCATTCAACAAAACACAATAAACTAAAATAAAAATCTAAAAGAGATCCCCGATTAGTTGTAACATTAGACTTTATTTAATAAACTTATATTTTAACTGCAAAATAAAGACTGTAAAAATACTGTAGGATGTTTTAGGTTTTATAATTTTTAAACTAAAAGTTTATAAATATGTTACATGGACGGGGCCATTTTATTTACAAGCAAAGCATTCTGGGAAAATGATGAAMTGGATAGGYCMTCGGTGCGAGGCTGCTAGCGACCTATATCCACCCTGAAGGTTAATCTTGGACAATATCTGATGATTGGCTCWTTTTTTTCTTTTTCTTTTTAATTTTTAACATATTTTAACATGAACAGAGCCATTTTATTTACACGCAAAGCATTCTGGGTAAATGACGTGGATAGGTCATCAGTGTGAGCGAGCTACAGTATATCCACCCTGAAGGTTAATCTTGGACAATATCTGACGATTGGCACTTTTAAATGAAACCAGAGAGCGTTGACAGAGAGGAGAAGGTAGAAATGACTCAGCCTGTAACTGAAAATATGGATGGAGGACAACAGAGCTGCTTCATGGAAGAAGAACCCCAGCTTGGCCTGTTAGCTTTAGCGTTAGCCCCGATGCTATCACTATACATTGTATATACTGTATATGTATTAGCTCAGCGCTACACATTCTCCTCTCGTCACTGAGGTCCTCCATCCACATGACAGAGAGGGGAATCCAAAAATGACTCAGCCTGCAACTGAAAATATGGATGGAGGACCTCAGTTTAGCTTGTTTGTTTGTCGCGCTAGTGCCGAGCTAATACATATAAGGCAATATAGCGTCAGCGCTAGCACAAAGGCTAACAGGCTAAGCTGAGGTTCTTCTTCCATGAAGCAGCTCTGTTGTCCTCCATCCATATTTTCAGTTACAGGCTGAGTCATTTCTACCTTCTCCTCTCTGTCAACGCTCTCTGGTTTCATTTAAAAGAGTCGATCATCAGATATTGTCCAAGATTAACCTTCAGGGTGGATATAGCTCACTCACACTGATGACCTATCCACGCCATCATTTACCCAGAATGCTTTGCGTGTAAATAAAATGGCTCTGTTCGTGTTAAAATATGTTAAAAAATTTTTTACAAAACTAAACAGCCTACAGTATTTTTACAGTCTTTATTTTGCAATTAAAACATATGTTTATCAAATAAAGTCTAATGTTACAACTAATCGGGGATCACTTTAAAGACTAAAGTATCATTTATCTAACTCAGTATTCATGTTTTATTTCGCTGTCACAGTCCGGTGCCTAAAGACAGAGAGAAGTTTTACTTCAAGCTGCGACAAGGTGTCCAGAAGAAGGTGGTGGTTTCTGTCCAACAAATGTGCAACAAGGAGCTCGGCATCGAGAGGTTAGAATCCCTTCTGTGTGATTTAGTTTAGATTTATCATTTTGATTCAATACTTTATTGTAGTTTTAGTAAATCAGGCTCCTCTCAAATCTGGAACTGGAATTACTAGTTTAGGAAGACGTGATAATTTAATTGTATCCACTGTTTAAGGGTTAGAATAAATAAAGTGGATATGTCAGCACATGGATGGCAGGTGGAGGATAGGGAATAAATGATTTAGGGCTCAGAATCTGCTCTAAACCTGCTCTCCTCCCATTGATGAAACATTTTCTATATTCTTGTTTTTTATATGAAATCAATAATCTTTTTGTTTGTTTTCTGGCACAAAGATGTTGCAGACAGGTGTGTACATGTTGGAACTGCAATAAAACACTGAAAATTTGAATCTAAACAAGACAAAAAATAATAATCTTTTAATTTTTACTCATTTTGCTGATTAAATTACAGTTTTCTGCAACCTCCCTTTTTTAAATGCTTGTGTTTGAGCAAAACTTAAAAAAAAAACTAGGTCACTTCCTGTTTTCATCCTCACACCTCTTGCTATCAGAGGGAGCTAGACATCTGCCCTCTTTATTTTTAGACAATAGAAACCCTTCAGAACAGATCCTTTTAAGATGGAGAATCGATTCTGTTTGAAACTTTATTTTATCAGCGTTAGACATGATATTACTCCGATTTCACTTTGTATGATGAGCCCTGCTTGATCAAACGAGTACAAAAAATATCTTGACTTAAAAATAGCACGTCCTTTCAATTGAAACTGGTCAGTTTATGTAACATTTTAATTGTAATTCACAGATTTTTTTGTCATTTTGTAGCATTACTGAATTCATTTAAAAATATTACATGCACAGTTATATTCAAATGCAATTTTCCATGTTTCTATCCTCTCTAAAGTAACTTGACCATAAAGGCTTCAGCTCAGGAGTGGTGCTAGTGCTGATTGATTTGTGGTTTGAGCTTCCTTTGTCTTCCTTTAAGGTGTTTYGGGATGCTGCTGAGTCCCGGACAGAGAGTCTCCAACAGTGACATGCATCTTCTTGACATGGTGAGCAGGACTCGCTTTAACTCCTCCTCCTTCTGACACAAAAGTATCAGTAATTAATTGTAAATGAAAATGTTTAAACTCACTTCAGGTAAACAATGAATGAATATGTTGTGTTACAAACCGACTCCTGCTTTWATATGTGTTTACTGCCTAAAAACAATATCCTTAGGAATCGATGGGGAAGAGCTCTGATGGGAAGGCCTACGTTATCACAGGAACGTGGAATCCCAACATGGCGGCTTTTCAGCCACTGAATGAAGACACACCTAAAGGTTTGAGTTTGAAGAATGTTCTAKTTAATCAAAGTTCACATAGTTTGAATAAAGATGGAAAACAGTTACATTTATGTTTTAAAGTAACTGGTAACTTTTCAATATCTGAACCTAACTAAGAGCAGCGGTGGACAGTAGTGGAGTACATTTACTTGAGTACTGTACTTAAGTACATTTTTTGTGTATCTTTACTTGAGTAATTATTTTTTGGGGTACTTGTGGCTTTCACTGCACTACATTTCAAAGACAAATATTGTACTTTTTACTCCACTACATTTCTAGGAAGCTTTKAGTTACTTGTTATTTTTGCCTCAGCTTTGTAATCAGCTGTTGCTGTTTTTCTTTCTTGAAATGCAATTGGCCACACAATATGTTCCTCACAAGGAGAACCAATCACAGTTGTTGCTTACATCTAGGATAGATTTGGAGTTACATYATCTTTGTTAAYGGTGGCGAGCTGAGCTCCCACCTTCATTTCAAACAGAACCCAGCAATGGAGACGATTGAAGAGAGTAGAGAAACCAGCACCCATGACCATGAGATTTTAGGACTGAAAAATAGTTCCTATCAGTTTAAACATCTTATGGGTTCACTGCGGATAAACTACATTTCTGCATTTAAGAACTCTCCACTCATTTTATTGCATTTTTATGCTTAAGTCTTTACAGGTGGTGAATTTGTAGCAGAGTGGTTACGTGTCGATACATCAGSTGGTTTCTGAGAGCTACAGGGTTCTTTAAAATTACTCTGAAAACAATACAGCAATGTACTGATATTAGAAAATTTAATTTGTACTTTTGAATACTTGAGTACTTTTAAACTGCATGTACTTTTGAATAATTAAGTATTTTCAAGAATAAATACTTCAGTACTTTAACTTGAGTAGATTTTTGACTGAGTAACATACTTGTAGTTGAGTAGATTTGACCCTGAGTATCAATACTTTTACTCAAGTACTGGAGTTGAGTACTTTGTCCACCACTGACTAAGAGTTTTTTTTTTAAATTCATTATGGTGGTATTTAAACCACGTCTTAAYGAAGCATTATTGTGCAGCCTCATTTATGAAGTGTTTGCTGTGGACCATGGCTGTGAGAATTTATTTGGACCCAGACTTTGTCCAAGCTTGATTTGTTTTGAATGTAAAATAACAGAATATGTTTTATTAATGCACGATGAGGCTCTTCTTTAAGTTAATTTAACAGCATAGACAGAGAAGACATAGATAGTAACATGTTTTTGGAATACACCATAAATATGATGCCTATTTATCTGAATACACTTCAAATACTGTTAGATTTGTACTTTTTCAAGCTGTAAAACCAGTGAAACATATCAGAACCACCGCTGATCTCGTTACAACCCAATGTCCCTCTTAAAACATTTTGGCATTCGCAAAAGTAATAATTTGGTACTTACCACCCACCTAAACATTTTACAGACCAATCACTCCTCCAACATGGCAACAGCAGTGGGTTTTGGTGGCAAAAGGTGGGAGTTACTCAATATTGGCAGGTGGTCATAATGTCCTTCTGAATGTGATTATTAAATCATTCTAATTAATTTAATCACCAAATATCATCATTTAGAACATAAATTATACAAAAATATATTGAAAACACACATTTTACAGCTTAACTATGTACACAAGTTTTAAAAGCTTAAACAGGAATTTATTTATTTGTGGATTTATTTAATAGATTCGTTACTATAACCTTCTATTTTGTTTTGTTTTATCCACATGTGTTGGCTCCAGATAAGCAGGTGTACGTGACGGTGGCGGTGGACCTCGTCGTGACAGAAGTGGTGGAACCCGTTCGCTTCCTGTTGGAAACTCTCGTCAGGGTCTACCCATCGAACGAGCGCTTCTGGTACTTCAGCCGAAAGACCTTCAGCGAGACTTTCTACCTCAAACTCCGACAGGTATCTCTACTGACATGACCCCATCACAGGAAAACACCTTCTCTGATAGTTAGTGCGTCAACAGTTTATTTATAATGTTTTTATACAGGAATAATAGCTTTGGTAACAGAGTCAATGCATTTCAGGTGTTATTTATTCAAAGTAGCCCCCTCACTGTGAATGAGTGTCTGTAGAGACCTCTGACAGTGAAGGTGTCAGCCATGTTGCTRTCGCTGATTGGATTTTTGCGACGTTATTCAGGTCATGTTAGGTTTATTGGCTTATCTTGGTTATCAGTGTCAAAGGGCTMTACGGCTCAAAAGCCATTAATTCTGAACCCAGTCCAGGCTCTGCAGGTTGGTGAAAGTGATTTAAGTTYCATTTTGGAGGATGAGCGACGTTATGAAGGGGGTTCAAAGGGCAGCTTGGAAACGTTGAGGTGTGTCAGTGACCTCTCGAACGCTTTACCAAAAAGAAGTGAAGAAATGTGATGGAAGGTATAAAACTTATCGTCTAATTTTTAAAATGTATTTGTTTCCTGTTTGAGGTTCATCCCTTCAGTGTAGGATACTTTGCTGTTTGGTACATAACATAATGAGGTACTAAAGTTAGTTTTTTAATTATTAGCCCAAAACCTTGATTATCTTTTGTTTGATGTGTAATGGCAAACTTGTGTTTTTTGTTTTGAGTTTGCAACCTTTTTTTTAAAGTGTGCTGAGACAGGTGGTCCTGCTTACATTGCACCTCTATGGTAAATGGTAAATGGTACTGAACTTATAGAGCACTTTTCAAGTCCCTCCAGACCCCCAAAGCGCTTTACACTAACAGACGTTCACCCATTCACACTCACATTCACACACTGATGATGGCAAACTACACTGTAGACACAGCTGCCCTGGGGCACACTGACAGAGGTGGGGCTGCCATGTATCGGCGCCACCGGACCCTCTGGCCACCAGAGGTAGGCAAGGTGGGTGAAGTGTCTTGCCTAAGGACACAACGACTGAGACGGCTGGACGGGGGATCGAACCAGTGACCTTCTGGTTCCAGGACGACTCCCCTAACCAGTCCGCCACAGCCGCCCCTATGAGCCCATCCTGCCTGAGCAGGTGCTTTAAAGATACTGTTAAGCCATAAGCTTCCTCTTCTCTGTTTAAAAAAAAACAAAGCAAATCTTTYARGAGGCCGTGGGGACCTGGTGAAGCAGTGGAGTGTAGGGGAGCTTTGGATTGTGAAAGCTAATAAGAGGCCTTGTCTCATTATTTGCGTGTGAGTAATTAACAGCAGCGCTTCGGCTCGTCCGCCTGATTGCCTCTCTAGTTATCTCTTCGGTAAATGGAAGAGTGCTGGACTGGTGCTGTGGTTTCAAGCTAATTAAAAGATAATATTGTGTGGAAGCTTCTGCGGAAGATGGAAATCAGAGGTRATATACATACATATGCACCCTTTTTGTCTTATTTTGGCAAAAAGTATCGAAAGTATCAAGTACATGTTGGCTAGCTTGTTGTACATTGTTGCTGAACTTAGTATCTGCTTTACTTTCCAATTTGTTAATACTGTAGAAGAGATCATTGATGCGAAATCCTAGTTTGTTTGTGTTTTAGTTGGATTTGTATTTAAAGCAGGAATACATATTTATATTTTATAAGAGGTCTAATGTTTTTGCTGCAGTTTAGAGAGTGTTTATAAGCTCATCTGAAAGTGTGTAATTTCAATTACAAAGAAAAAAATAGCAGCTGGATATTGGAAAGAGGAAAAAAAAACCTGTTTTAATAATTACATGACAGAGATATATGTTGTTAGTTTTTTCATGTAAATATAATTATCTACCCAGCGGGTAAGAAACACTGCATATGAAACTTATTCTCTTTGGTCCTGTTCCTTCACTCCAGTTGTTTTTTATTCTTGYTAAACCATCAACTGGGCTGCTGAAAGTGTTGTTATTTATTTTTTATTTCTCCAATTTGAGACCATTTTAAATCTCTGGGAYTTACAGTATGGACAGCTCCCTGCTGCTAACTGTTCCCAGGTCACAGTTTGTGACAAAATGAGGTCAGGTCTTTGTTCTCTTTCAGTCTCATCTTTTGTGAAAGCTGTTCATCATGTTTGCCATATTTTACACATTTTACTGTCCCATCCAATTCATTTGAAGTAATATTCACATAAAATATTTGCAAATCTATTCTATGAARCATAAAATGATTGTTATGATATTCTTGTCTAAATCCTCAGRTTATTTAGTGTTATTTGAACCTTTMTACAGATTTGATGTTATTGTTTCATTTATATGAAAAGTAGTGCAGGACAACATCACCTTACTTAAATATGTTTTCAGTCAGAAAATAGCACTCCAGCTACATACTTGTTTGTGACATTTCAAATGATTCTTAAATTTTTAATGTGGTGTTTGTGCAGCGAAATGTCACTCTAAACATTTAACAGAGTGAGYCATCCCTTTATCAACAGTGATTCATAATCCTGCTTTTTGTCATTGTTTAAAACCCACAGTTGATAATGTCATATTTGCACAGTAAGCTTTATTTTGCTCGTATTCCAGCTTTTGTTTTATCATGTAGGTTAACTATCAGAAGTCTTAGCAAAGGAAGCTGTTTTACTCATTCATCCACAAGTTTTCTTTAAACATAGGCCAGGCTTGGTATGGTCTCTGCTATTTTGAGTTGTCAGCACAGACTTGAGTTAGTCATTAGATGCCATGGGAGCGAGCGGATCGATGCARCTTATTGATCCATTTTTCCAGGTGGAGGAGACGGACAAAAACACTGAAGTAATTGAATAGACCAGAAAAAAAACATCAGTTTCCTGTGACCCAGAAGGTCAAGTCTGATGGTATCTTTGTTGCATTTCTTTAATCTGTTAAAAAACATTTAAGGTCAAATTTTTTTCTTTTTTATGTTCCAATTTTAAAAAATGAGTGTTATTTAGATGTTGATGTTTTATGAAGTGGAAATGTTTCCAGTGGTGGTATTTTCAGTAGTGTTCTCTTTTTTTTTCCTGTTTGCCATATTTTTTTWAAAGTTTGATTAAAAAGATGCTTCTTTATTGATCAATTTTTACTGTTTCAGATATTTTCAGAGTATTTCTTCAGTTATGATGATTGCTCTCTGATTGCCTCGGGCTGATTGAGACATCCATTTTCATTCCTCTACCCTCTGCTTGTTTGCCTTTTTTGCATCTCGTCTCTTCTGGTTAGATCTTTTACAATTTAATTTATTTCTCATTTAGTTGAAATGTAATGAACTCAGGTTTATGCAGACTAGTTTGTTGTTTTTAGTAGAAAACATTTTTAAATAACCACTGCTATATTTATTTGAGCTGTTAAATGTAATGTTTTAATAGGATTTTGACATWTTTCAAATATGTTGGTGGTTTCTTCTCTTTGTTGTCAAACTGTATGTGTTTCCTTGCTGAAGTAGATTTTAAAGAGACAACTTAAACAAAAAAATTCCTCCTTATTTTGCACTTAAAATGGATTTGCAAAACTATTTAGTGCAACCAGCCAATATTTTTTATTGTCTTGTTGCTGTTTTTATAATAGGATTTGATATTAGTTTCTGTAATAGATTAAAATTTTTTAGGAATGCTTAGGTTTTGGAATCTAAAATGATGTTTCCTGTTGCTGCAGCAGGCCCCGGACCGGGTGGGTCAGAGCGATGCTGTGTATGAGGTRGTGAGTCTTCAGAGGGAGGCAGAAAGAAACAACGAAGGAAGAGGGCAACTCGGATCAACCAATGAAGAAGAGGAAGTTGATGAAGGTTTGATCTCATTTTGTCTACCTTATCAGAAAGTTACCACCTCAAAACTACACGAACAGGTCCTTGTCAAAAAATCAGCATATTGTGATAAAGTTCATTATTTTCTGTAATGTACTGATAAACATTAAACTTTCATACATATATTTTAGATTATTTGCACACAACTGAAGTAGTACAGGCCTTTTATTGTTTTAATATTGATGATTTTGACAAAAAATAAAGAAAAATCAAAAATCCCTATCTCAAAAAAACGTAGCATTTCTTTCAATTTTTTATATTTAGTCTTAAAGCAAAAAAGCTGAAAAACCACCTGATTGTTAGTTTTTCTCATTTGATTTTGAAACGATAAAAGAAGAACAAATCATACACGGATCAATGCGCTGAACACATCTCTTCATCTTCTGCATTGTCTAATTTGTCTCAGAAAATCAGTATAATTCACTCTCTGCAGTTGCTTTTCATCCGTCTCTCTGGATGGTGAAACTCTTGTCATTTAAATATGATCCTACGCTCAGAGTTTCAGCGTGAAACATTTGCCAACACAATCAACCCCAACCTGCATTCCTCTGCAGCAAGCCTTCGTCACAGTGTGTGCTCTGCAGTGACGGACATTCATCGGCAGCGAAGCTTCGTTTGTCAGACAAGTAAACACCGGCAAGGATGTGTACAAATACATGTTTGTGTTTGGTAATGCTGGTCGTGTACTGTGCACAGAGGTGAGAGACAGTCTCAGACGGTGGTTAGGGCAGCTTTTTGTGTGATTGCTCATGTTTAAATGTGTGACAAGGAAAGCCCAWTGCTGTAAAAGGCTTGTTGGCTTAGAGCTGTGCAGTGTCAAACACAATCAGACACACCACATGCACTCTTTAGGATGAAGTAAACAACCATCTTCAGTCAAGGACAACAGATATTTGGGGATTGTTTGCTAACACCATGTTTCATTTGTGTCATTTCTTAATAAATAACAAAAAAACTCATTTTGATTTTTAGAGTTTCCTATTCCAGTTGTAACTTTTGTCTAGTGGTGCMACCAGAACATCTGGCTGGAGCTGACCTCAGTCTGAACAGAGAGATTCATCAGCTTTGTGTCTTGATAAAGTTGGTAAATCTATAAACATGACCCATTTATAAGACACACCAGGGCTGCGAGTCACAACTGCATTGTCAAATGAATGGAGGCAAAAAAAGAAGTAATTTTAACAACCCCTGCTAGACTCCAGTGGTTCCCAAACATGACCCAGTTTCAGCTGCCTCACCAGCAGCTACAGTAAGTCCAGTGGGTGTCTCCTGACTATAACTGCAGCTCCATAACTGTTTAAGTGTTTATTTATTGTCAGACTGTTTGTGTGCTTGTTTGTATCTGCTGAGTGGTTATTCCAAACCTAACTTTCACTGTCTGTTAAAAAAATGGTTTTCTGCAGCATTAGAATAGGGATCATCTAATTGACTTTAAAATACGTGCAGTAGAGAGTCTGTTGTTCTGTTTGATCTTTTTATTTAAATCTAAATCATATGCCTCTGTGTCCAAATTTGATGTCCTTCTTAGTTTGCAGGTGTTTTATGCAAATGCAAAAAGGCTTTTWAAATTTTTTTTATCCAACCGTCTCAAGCATTAGAGACACGTCTTTGTCTTTTCGTGTTGCACCATTCTCATCTATTTGCCATTGTAAACTGCCTTTTTAGCCTTTTCACCTTTTAAAGTGCTGAAAAACACAACCAGCGTAGCAGAGAAAAGCTGTCTCCTTTGTGTCTGTGTGCCGACTCACCTGAACTCCTGATKCATCCGCCAAGGCTGAGGCAGAAACCTTTCAGCTGGCTCTGTGGGAGACATTCAAAGGGCTTTTTTCTGTTCCTCTCTCCCTCCTCTTCTTCCCTGGAGCTGAAAATTGGAGACGCTGAGGGCCGTGAGGCTGGACGTCATTCTCATTGTGTAAAGAAATGAATACACGCCCAAAGTAGATGCCACAGCTGGGTACACACATTCAATCATGTGGACTTTTTTTCCCCTCAGCTGAAAATGCAATGTGGAAAATGTCTTTTTTTAGTTCTTTTTCAGACTATTTTTTCATTTAAAATATTTTTTATTATCTACATATTTAATATCCAAAACACACTTAATTGCTTTTATAGTGACAAATAAATGTGCTGTTTTACTTTATTTAAAYACAATGGCTCAGATATGAAATGAGTGTTAAAAACAAAACACAAAATATTCTTAGGATCTCCAGAATAAAAAGTTCCTGCTTTAACAACCTAATTCTAGTTTTTTGATACCTTTTTTAAATAATAATCCTGCAGTAAATATGGTGTCCCCCTCCCAGTGTTTTCCCTACAACATAAAGTTGATGGATCAAATGAATTATGGGAATAAATATTGACCAATTTCCTAATGTTCTACCACAATAGATTTCTTTTTTTTGTTATTTATATACAGTGTATATGAAATATTGTGTCTTGGGGGATAAATCCTCATAATTTCTCCCTGCTGTACGTTATACACAGCAAATGTTATAATAACAACCGTAGTTGTATTTTTCACACCAGAGTCAGAGAAGGAAGAACTGCTTTTTCTTATCTTTAGAGATGAAAAGAAGACATGGACGTTCGCTTGCTTTGAAGTCCATCTTGCTAATTTAATAATCGGCTTCTGCTCTGGAAGTGCAGAAGCTGGATGGCAGATGTTGTGGTATAAGTGCACAACGTGGAAACTCATAAGTATGGCAGGCCGTTTTTACATTTAATCGACTTTACCACACTCGCATTTCAGATATCTGAAATTGACTTGTGAATAAACATGTTAGTTATTTAAGTGAAGGATATATAAGATTCAACTACAGTATATCAAATTAAATTGCAGACTTTTTCATGTTCTGTAAATTTAATTTTCAAAAGCTGCACTGTCTCTTACTAAATACTAATAATGTTTCTGCTGTTGATCATCATAAGGCCAATACTTTAAGGGAAACATTGATTAAAAAGCATAAATGGTCATTTTCTCCTCAGTCTTGGCTGAAGTAGATCAGTGTTCGGTGACCTCCTTATAACCATGAAGCTGCAGGTTCGAGCTTAGGTTGCATCAGGAGTAAAATAATTGTCAGCCTCTGCAAAAGGTAGCAGCTATAAAAAAAAAACCCAACAACTTCCGTTCTCCCCAGTTTCTGTCATTATCTGGTATACTGGCAGTAGCTTTGGAGTCATGCCTCTTTGCCATGAGGCCTGAGCAGAATCTGAGGACAGAGGCAGAAGCTTTATTCAGTGTCTGAAACCTTTGAAAAGGCCTCATCAAGCATTTATAAAGATCTGGAAAGCTCCTGCTGAGGCTGTGAAGATTATTGGAGCCACAGTGCATTTATTGTAGCTCCATGGCTGTACTCATTTCAAAATGTCAGGGCCTTACTTAAGTGGAAATAAATGATGCCTTTAAACTCCTGTAAAGGCTGCCTCTGTTGAGTTTTGTTGTTGAAATATCAGTGAAGCTCAGTGCTATAAAATTAAAAGTTCTTGTGTTACTTTCATGTTTCAACCATTTAATTTAGTATTATCAGAGTTAAAAAAGAGCTTTTAAAATGTAAAATATCACTATGTGTCCTATATATTGTTTTAAAGCAACTGTATCAAACTCTTTTTCACAGAGGGTCACATAAACATTATGGTTGTAATTAAAGTAATTCAGCTTTAATGTTTAACTTTGGCTAAACGTGAAGCGTCACGTTCTTTGTCTCATACGCCTGAGCACCGCCAACAAACAATAACTGAGCTTTACATAGTATTTCCTACATAAACAGTGTTTAACACAAACTCTTACAAATACTGAAAAGCACCACRTGTACGACTGACTAAATGTGAAATAAATAATACAGAAATACTAAAAGTAAAAATAAGAGTTTTACTCGCTGAGTAGCTGCTTCCTTGAATTCTGAACTCTCCCAGTTTCTGACAGGAAATTCCCACTAGAGAGGTATTTCAGTTTAAATTTACAACTTGTAAGTGGGAAATTCCCACTTCCCAGTACAACTGGGCCACAGCAAAAGTAGTCAGCAGAAATGTATCAAAATGGAGATTAGGTAACAAAACCAACATGCATTATGGGACATGTAGTTAGCTGGCTTTAAAGCAGCATACACTTATTTTAAGACCTTATTAAATCTTAAAAGCTTTCGCGGGCCCCATAAAAGACTGGTGGGCCACGTTTGGCCTGCGGGCCTTGAGCTAATCACATATGCTGTAAAGGTCCTCACTGCATTGCCATGAAGACTGGGCAAAAAGGACTTCATAAAGTAAACAAAAGCAAATATTTTTTACATAATGATGGTCATTTTGTCTTTGGGGAAAAATGTAAATAAACTGGTGAGGTGACTAAAAGTAGGGTAACAGTGGTAGTTTAGATGCGTAAGAAAAGCATTATGTATTGATGTGTATTTGCACTCAGACTTTTAGAGTAAAGTATGCAAAAAGTGCATTGTTTACATTGAATGCAGACTCACATTTCAGATTTGCATATCAATATAACAACTGGAGTAAACGTTTTCAAACATCACCTGTCATAATCTCTTTTTTGATATGATTGTTTAGTCTTTTTTCCCAATACAGTTTGTAATTGGCATTATTTTTCATCTATATATTAGGTAACACTTTATTTGAAGGGGTGTACATAAGACTGGCATTACTCTGTCATAAACATGACGTAACACCTGTCATGAACATAAAGAAGGCTTCATGAATGTTTGACTGTTGTCATTAAGTGTCATTCGGTAAATTCTGACACGTTTAATGCAAAGTTGACATTGTTTAAAATGTCTTGACAACTTGGCATTAACCAAGACAAAATTGTCTTTGTGTTTATGACTGTGTCACGTCAGTCATATGCACATCCCTTCAAAATAAAGTGTTTCCATATATTATTCAAAATTATTTAAAAACCCATCGGTGTTTATAAGTACTTCAAGACTAAATTTGTAGTTAAAATCTTTCAGCCTTCTGCATTTCAGTGAGACTTTATATATTTGTATTTTTAAACGTGTGACCTCACTGGCGTTGGCTACAAGTGTAGTTGTGTGCCTTTGTGTTCCTGTTTGATATCCATTTTTTTATTTATTCAGTGTAAAATACAGTTTAACATCTGTTCTTTTGTAGCATTTATTTAAAAAAAATGGCATTATTAGAGTCTGGCTTTGAACACAAGTGGTTGGCCAAGCTGATTGCCTCTTGTCTGCCTCACGAAGCAACAGACGGGAGAGCAGCAATTATGGAAGGTGTAGGCACCGCACACGCACTCCTGCCTCCATTAACTGTGTGGGCTCAGTAACAGCAGGCTTTAAATCGCAAAATACCTATCAAAATAGGTTTGGATTGATCTATTATTTAGTACGTGATATATGTGTCGCAATTATTAAATAATTGTCGTTCCAGTTGAGTGATGGCTCTCGCACAGCTGCCAGTGTGGTTTTTGAATTTGGCATGCGACCTAAATGAGGTTAAAATGTTTTGGACCTCTCTCCCATCAGAATTAGTCATTCCTCTTGAGGGAAGTGTTGAATCTTTTAACAAGCCCAGACAGCGTGTTCTGACTTGAATTTTGTTTTGATAAATAAACACTCAAAAAAACCCTAAATGTACAGTTAGACATTATGTCAAAATATTTCAGTGTTTGTTGATAAAAGCTTAAACAAACCTGCACATGTTTTTCTCTATTGTTCCCTTGCAGAAAGTGACAGTGAAATCTCCAGTGGGACTGGAGATGTTTCCAAAGATTGTCCGGAGAAAATTCTGGAGTCATGGGGAGGACTGCTCAACAGATGGTAGGGCATCAATCAACACAAAGTCTAGACAATGACAGGAAGGATTAGGATTGATAGTAGACTTCTGATATCGAAGCAGGAGGAGAGTGAATAAAGGTCAGAGAGAACATTGGCACTGGCATTTGTAGGGGTCACCTCGAGTGAAGAAACAAGATTTACTGCCTCGAAGCAGCCCTCGGACAGGCCTGACGAGAGGACAGGAACTCTGTCACAAACTGAACTCTATTTAGGCCATGACAGGTCATTCTGACCGTGGAAGAGAACCCCTCACTTCTCTTAATCAGATAATGGACAGAACAATCTCTTCTGTTCGTGATTCATTTGTTGTTTAACTAAGAATGTTTATGCATTTGTTAAATCATGATAATGACTGGTACAGGAAAAGTGGAACCACTTCTTTTCTTTTATCGTGCCTTAAAGATTTATAATGGTATAAAAAAATCACAGAGAATCTGATTACAATGTTTTCATTGTGTTTTTATGTAAATCACTGTTTTTATTTTACTGTGAACACAGTAATATAATTGTGGATTTTTCCTGAGAAAATCTTTCATTTATCTGGACTAACAGAAGGTTCAGAACTGATTATAAAACAGAAATGTTAATTAATCATCATAAATGTTTTGCAGTGATTTCTCTTAGTCTATCAGAAGAAAGYTGAAAAAAGGTTATCATATCATGTTGCTGAACAATCACAGAATTTTAACCTTGGGCTGGCGCCGGCTGGCAAATCTTTATCTTTCTTTCTCTGGCTCATCTCTAAGCCTGAGGGCGGAACCATGGTTCGTCCATTTCTTTTACTAACCCGGACGATTGGAGCGAAACACTCTTCTTCCTCATTCCAATCTAGGAAGACAGCGGGGATTCTCTCCAGAGAAACCTCAGTTTGGCTTAAAGTCTGATCCCATGAGCTAATTAGGGAAGACTTCACAGCCAGGGACCCGGCACGCCTGCCGGTGGTCTCAGCCCGAGGCCGAGCCTCTAAGTGTGTTTTTAACTCCCGAGGGGAGATTTTATTTTGGAAGGAGGAACCGGATACGGCTTGAATTTTTGTGGCTTGGACTGAAACAGATGAAAGTTACCTGGAAAAACACCTGTTCACCAGTGACCGGTAAGCGAGCCGACATCAGTTCCCTGACTGATCGGAGGCGAGCCAGCTCCTACCCCGAGGGTGCCTTAAGAAGACATCATCTGGTAAAAGCTGATGTGTTTGGAGTGACGTGTCATGTGGAATCTGAGCTTAGAAAAGACGTGCAGTTCCAKTTGACCCACACTTTGATAAAAGTAAAAGTCGTAGTAACATACTAATCTTACTTTCCTCCTTTCCTTGTTCTTAATCTGCCAAAACTTAAGCTAAAAGTGCCAGTAAAATTGTTTGGTTGTTAACATCAGAACTGACGTTTTACTGTTCTATATAAGTAATCTGAGTTGATGTGAATTGAAATTCGGACGCGGGTTTTATCTCATTTAACTCTGRCGCTTGTTATAGGAATAACCACAATCAAGTGTAACTTATGATCTGTTCATTTTTTGTAAATAAATGATTGCATAGTCTTTTGTGAATCAACTTGAACTTGTCTGAACGTTCGCTTATTGTGTCACTTTTCACTTCGCACAGTCAAGATATTAACAAGTAATGAGAAATACCTTGGTAAAAGTTTCCTCATAACCTTGTGTATGAGAGATGTGGGAAAAGCTTAATTCACCTTAAGCTCACTCTTACACATTCTAACTCTTACTGTAAGAAACATAGCACAAAAAGTAAGTAAATTAGTGTTTGGTAGATTATTTCTTTGTTGCAACAATGCTTCTTAATAAATCTTATAAGGTGCACCTGGTTGGTAGCACCTGGGGTTACCAGAGGCTCAAAACAAGTGTCAACACCAACAGCAAAATGAGCTRTTTAGCAGTAAAAATTTGGCAAATTTTTCATTTGCGCAACCCACATCCTCAGCTCTACTGCTCATCCCACAAATGATTGTTCCTTACAAATGTGAAAACATTTAAAAGGGAAAATAACAGACCAAGAACTACTGTTACCACACAGACGTAATCTACCAAACCAAATTTTCCTTACATTTTGTGCTATTTGTTCACACAGCAGATAGTGTTCACTGCTGTCTAATGGCATTCTGTAAAACCAGCCTACTTGACACACCTGTACACTGACTTACAGTATAGAGATGATCAACTTCACTGTTGAACTTTGATATGTAGTTTACACCCACTGCTAGAAGGTAGGTGTGTGTGTGTGTGTGTGTGTGTGTGTGTGTGTGTGTGTGTGTGTGTGTGTGTGTGTGTGTACACGTTTTTGCTACCTGGTGGGGATGATTTTTGACCATATCCCCAGTACACACAGTCTGGTGAGGACCCACTCACTGTTCCTTATGGGGACAAAAGCCAGGTCCTCATTGGGGGATATACTGTTGGTGTGTCAGGGGTTTGGTTTAGGACAAAGGTGTGAATTGTGTTTAGGTTAGATTCAGGGTCAGGTATGGACCTGTGAGGTTAGGCTTAGGGTAAGAGGTCAAGGTTAGGCTGTAGAAATGACCAGTTCATAAATGGAAGTCAATGCCAAGTCCCCCTGAGGATAGAAGAACAAACGTGTGTGTTCATGTGTCTATGGTTTTAAGGACTAATCTACAATTTGGTGTGGTAGTAGCTGAGACTGACCACCAACACGTGCCCTGTGTGCCTACACATTGCACAAAGTTTTTCAATTTATTTTTGCCATTACTGGTACTGATTTTGAACTGTTTTTATCTGTTAGTAAAATATCTCATGAACTAATGAATGGTTATAGATGAAACATTCAAGGAAAAATCATTAGATAGAGTACCTCAACATCTGCCATCCAAATACACTACAGTTAAATGACTTTAGCCAAAGCAAAAATAGCTGTAGTTTTATCTTAAATTATAAATCTATACATTTTTGAACATTTTGATGTAGCAGTAGCTGAATAAAACATATYTCTGTGACATATTGTGCAAAATGTTTTTAGGCTTTAACCAAAACAGCTACAACTCCATTATTTCGCAACATAAGTTGATCTCAGTCAAGAAATGTTAGGCCTTTAATATTTGTTTGTTTTTAATCACTCGTTTGTATGTGTACAATCTACAATTAAATATGAAGTTTGGCAATCTAATAACTTTAACCCAATTATTTTTCAAATTGGTGCAACCTGTGAAGCAACAATTAATTGCCGCTGTCAAAATTTCTCATCTGAACTGTAGATCATTTAATTTGGTGCAACTTAAAATGATTAATTCATGATTTGCACCAAGCATCAAATCAGCATTAAACACACTGTTAACTGAATGAGAGAGATTTCATGCATCTTAATAGAGTTCAGGCTGTTTTCTTGATGTTGCTTCAGCACAATGAAGTGAACTTTTTTTTTTTTTTTTTTTGGGTGGGGGGTTGCTTTCACACGGCTTCATGAATGCATCCTGATGAGATTTCAGGCATCATTAAATGGAGCTGACTTTGGGGTTTTAAAAAGGATTGCTTTCCTCATGTAGCAGCACAGAAATTATTCCACACAACAAAATGGGACTTTTTATCACTGTTAAAGCTAACAATCGTTTGATAATCAAATATAGTGGGAATTGTTACCACCATTATTAAGACTGTGTGTAATAAAGTAGCATTTTCAGTTTAAAAACTTAATATTTTATAACCAGGATTGTAGTTAATCAAGTTTAATGCATTTAATTTAGTATAAATGAGTGTTTTCAGTCAGTCCTATCTGCATAGGAATTATGAAAAAACACAATATTTGTCACAACTAAAGGCCAAAATTATTATTATTTTTGTCCGATTTGTGTTGCTGCACTTCAGAACAGTGAAGTCCCTTCTCTTATCTGTGTGTGTGTTTACGTTTTTTTGTCTTTCAGGCACGGAAACCTGTCCACTCGTCCAAAGGGTCTGCCCTCATTGGTTCGCAGTGGCATTCCTGAACCTCTCAGAGCTGAAGTCTGGCAGCTGCTGGCTGGTTGCCACGACAACCACGACCTGCTTGAACACTACCGCATCCTCATCACCAAGGTAAACGCTCTCAATCACCAACGGTTAGAGACAAATACTGAAGAGATCGCATTAATGAGTCATCAGCTCATGCTAAGCTCATCTGGCGCATTTAACAACTACCTGTACTTTTGTGTGTTTGTGTGTGTACATAACAAAGTTACAAAATTTAGTTTGTTATATATAGGCTTGTTGCGATAAGCAATAAATCAATTAATTACATGATAAATTAAAATGAGGTCCATAAATTAAATGAGGTTGATAATTTTCATGTGCTTGCTTGTTTGTTTGTTTTTTTGTCTCCCTCTTCCTTAACCCCAGTTTACACGCAGCTCCGCCCCTCTGTGCAGTTCGCCGTCTGCATGTGCTGCATGCTACATGTTGCCATCAGCTTCTCAAACAGAATGATACATTCTGACAGTATTTGTGTATAAATATATACATAAATGTATTAGTACAGCTAGGATTTTCACAAAAATTATCCTGTCTTTGGTAAATTATTTTAAAAATACCGATGTTGTGCTTGTTCCTTTTCCTGTTGGTGTGGTGTGATCATTGTAGATTGACTCCGGACCAGCTCCAGCTCTGGCAAAAATAGGATCAAATAGTGATGGGATAAATGGGTCTTTGAATGGATCCAGATCTTGGGGAGCCGTTTGTTTCACAGAGCCGTTTAAAAGAGCCGTTCGATTTTGAACGAGTTACGTCATCACGTATGGCGACGTGATGACATAATCACATTACGTGGGTGGAACCATGTGTTTTGTCAAGCAGAAACCCCCTCCCCCTTTCCCATGACTTTCTGTACTCCACCGCTCTGCCTGTTTTCCATGAAGAAGCAAAGAGGGAGCAATTTAAGGATGAAAAAATAAAGATTATATGAGGAATAAAATAAATAAAACTACAAATGGCTCGTTACTCCCCGTGACTCGGCTCCTATCGTTCGTTGTAGAGAGCCGTTCAAAAGATTYKGATCATTCGTGAACATCACATCACTAATCAAATCTAATTTTGGTTGACCTCGGTTATGGTTGCCTATATACTGCGGAGGTCAGAGCGGAGCTGCATCCAGTGTAAATTGGGAGTTATCGTAGGGAGGAGGGGAATCAAGGGTATCAAGGCATCAAGTATTTGCCGGGCGCATGGTCTCGTAACCTCTGTAGCGATGTTACAGCTTCAGCAGCTGTTGTTGTTTTCATAAACTCTGCTCTCCATGCATCCGTAAACTTTGCGTACATTTTTTTAAGTGTTGTGAGGGTGACCGCAAACATATTATGAAGCCAGACGAGGACGCATACAGAATAAATCGCATGGATAGAGGAAGTGAGAAGTTATTTTACAGCTTCAGCAGCTCTTACGTGTTTTTTTACACAATCTGCAGTCTCGATCACTTCATAGCTGTTTTTTACATACGTAAATTTTGTAAACTTTCCCTAAGCTTTGTAAGCGGGATGGRTATCATTATATTAATTTAAAATGTTCTCCAAACGATGTTGTGTAGCACAATAATTTTTGAGACAATTAATGTCAGGCCAAGTTATAAGACCTGAGGGTTGTATCTTTTTCTTTAATGTGTAATTTACTTAACCAACAAAAACAGTGAGACCTTTTGTTTTGATGGAAACCTGCTGAGTCATGTGAGCTGTTGAGAGATCATGCCACTATGATGAAAGTATTTCTCCTTTGTGTGTCTACTGCTATGTCCAAACATCAGTGACACTGCCATTTGTTTGAGCCGTTCCTCTGAACTGTGTCAAGTCAGAGATCGCTTCAGTTTCGCGGTGACATTTAAGTGCCCGCGCTGCTCTCCCCTGACCATTACAGCTCAAAGTGGCCTTTTGTTCTCACTAACAGCTCGCAAGAATTCAAAGTGAGTTTTTTGGACCTTTAGTATCTTGTGTACTTTAGATTGTGCTCACATACGCCATAACCTTTTAGTGTGATTTGGTTTGAAAGTAGATTTTATGGTTGTAAAAGTGCTGTTACACAAAGTTTTCTGTATTTTCAGATAATCTGTCACTATATTGGCCGAGTTCTCAAGCTTGTATTGGTGACATGTTAATTCTAAAGTAACCAGGTACTTTAGCGATGTACAGTTGTTTTTTGTTTTTGTTGTTGGTGCAAAAAAGTTGAAAATTGCCTAAAAAAACTGATTTGGTCTAACATGAAATACCTCTGGAATTATACTGTTGCTGAGTTCATGAGTAATGAATGACATTGTAGGCACTGAATATATGAGTGAAATGAAAGGAGATGTGGGTGTATTAGTCACACAAAGACACTGTTGTCAGTTATAATTTACGCTGCATGAGTCTGAGACTTTATGCAGTTTTTGCCTTCTGGAAAGAATTTTTATGTTTGTGACAAAAATAATAACTTAACATTTTATGACCCTGCTTTTTCTTCATTGTCCATCTACACATTGGTTTTCTCGTAATCCAAATTAATGTTGCTATTCAGACTTTTCAATCAAATTTAAAGAAATGTAAAGGTAGCGTCTTTGAATCACACATCTAACTGTAGACCAGGGCTATTCATCTGGCGGCTCGCGGGCCGGATGTGGCCCGCGAGTGACCAAAATTTGGCCCGCCAACTGGTTCATTCATCTCTTAAGTCCAAACCCCGGGATTTCTACTTTAACTACTTTAAGTTCCCTTAGCTGGACATAGACATGTTTGGTGCCTACAGAAACTCAGAATCTTGGCTAGAAGCTGGTAAAAACCTTTTCTATGAATATCTAAGACAGGTAAAACTACAAGCAGTTGAAGATAAAACCATGAAAGTTAAAATAAAATTGGTTTAAAAATTTGGCAGGTCAAATATGTCAAAATAATATTTGTGTTAAATAGGAGGCCGAATGTGTTATTTTTGTTTTTGATATTGTTTTACTATCACTACATTTATTACATAGGGTTCTGTTTGTTGTGTTCACGATTAAATGCAGCAAAATAAACTAATTCAAAGGTAACAGATCTTTGTAATACTTGGTTTATTTACAAAATGATCTTAATTGCTGGATGTTCAGCCCCTGTGCTGTTGTTCTGTATTAACTGTGGCCCCCGGAGCAATTTAGTTGAATAGCCCTGCTGTAGACAAAGACATTTCAGTTTTAAGACATTGTGGTTGGTATATAGTAGGCTAAATATAGGTTAGACATAGACTATTTTGTATCTTGACTTACCTGTGCTTAACAATCTTCAATCAATAAATGCAGAAGAAGTCACGAGAGATTATGTGGTCCCAAAATCATTGATTGTGGGGATTTATAGGCGGAACGACGGCTCAGTGGTTAGCACTGACGCCCCACAGCAAGAATGTATGGTATGCTTGTTTGTCTTTGTGTCTATGGTGTAATGATAATGGTGTGATTGTGATGCTGTAATTCTGAGTGCTTTATGTGCTGCAGAACAGGAACCTGCTGTAAAACAGCAATTATGCTGAGTCAGGCTTGATKTTTAATAATCTTTTCCTGTTAAATAAATAAATCAAATCAAAAATCAATATCAAGAAGATCCTGGGTTCGACCCCCGGTTTGGACCTGGGGTCTTTCTGTGTGGAGTTTACATGTTCTCCTCATGCTTGCGTGGGTTTTCTCCAGGTACTCGGGTTTCCCCCACCCCCCAAAAACATGAATAATAGGTTGCCTTCAGGCCCAGGCCTCCTTTGAAAAAGAGATCTGTGATCTCAGTGGGACTTGCCTGGTAAAATAACGGTAAAAAAATTAAATAAATAAATATTTCTCTGAAATATATCTTTTTCTCAAGCTTTGGCTATTTTCTCTTGCCTGTTTTTATTTCTCTGTTCCATCTTATCTTTTTCACACTTACAGATTTAAAAAAAATTTTTTTTTAGTATTTTTCATTGTTGTGATTGATGGTCCTTCTTCCTCTGTGTTCTGACAGACTCCTGATTCTGTGTGCCTACCCACAACGCCTCTACTTCTCTCTCTTCTTTTCATTACATAAGACCGAGTCTCTGTTGTAGAGCTCAGTTTTTCTCATTATGCCTTCTTCGCCACACCCACCTCTTCTGTCTTGCAGGAGTAGTGATGGTATTGATAGGCAGTAAGCTGGGCTATTATTAGCTCCACCAAATGAATGGAACTGAGAGAAKATGGAGTAGGGAGAGTCAGGAGGAAGAGAGATAAATGGCAACAGTGCAGCCTATGTGGTGCTGATTAATGCCTATTGTCTGGGCTTAGTGGCAACGTTAATTCAAAGTAACTGGATTGTTAAAGATATGGGACGAACATGAGTGTTGTAATTAGGCATCATGCATCAGTATGAATGTCATGCTGGAGACACATAGCCACATTGCTAATTTAGCACATGACGCTTTGAGCAACAATTGTAACCCGTGCTGACAAAGTAAGTCACAATGAGGAATTTTTCAATATTGAAATTAATTTTATACATTTCATAAAGGCTCAGCCAATGAGGTGTAAATTGTAACATACACAATTAATTGTCAGTAAAACTTTCAAGAAATATTATTTGCCACTTTGCAATTAAATAATAATAAAAATAAATATAATAAAATAATAATAAATAAATAATAATAAAATTAATGTGTTGATGGCGTATTTTTGTGTGCGACACACTATCACTATCGAGCGTGCACGTGATCTCAATGGTGGAAGGCAGCAAGGAGCGGCTAACCCTAACCCATAAARACCTGGTTAAGCAACTGAAACTTCATCATAAACCAGAGTACAAGGAAAACCAGAAAATGTGGACCAAAACCTCAACATCGGCCACATGCAAATGCAATTGTCATCTATTAATTAAATATTGACTAAATACCACAATTAATCATGATTAATTTTAATGTCAATATTGCCCAACCCTAACTATCACATGACTACAGATGTAAATTAGCCTTAGGCTAAATCTGGTGCAATGCATCAAATTGTGTTTTAATTGCACACTGTCCCAAAATAAATAAATCATTCATTCACTCTTGTTGGTTGTAGATGGCAGCCATATTGTCCAGGGCGAGGACAAGCTGATCATAACATGTTA